AGAAAAGAACGAACAACGGAAGGTAGCCACAATTTCAGACTCAAGATACCGGTAAATAGATAAGCTAGTTAATGGGCCAATTCACTCACAAGAATTAGTTTTAATCACAAGCATGGATTTCAATCAAATGAATATGAAAATAGAGATGCATTTATTTGAAGAATTTCAATGACAAAGGAAGATATAAAAGTATGCATCATAAAAGTTTACACATATATATATAAACTTTTATGGAGCTTACTTATATATCTGTCTTTATAATTGAAATTCTTCAAATAAATACATCTCAACTCTCATGTTCATTACATTGAAACTCGTGTTGGTGGTTAAGACTAACTCTTAAGAGTGAGCACATATATATATATATATATATATATGTATATGGAAGTGAAAGGCAAATTATTATATATCTTACAATAATGCAATAAGGATTTCAAAAAATAAATTTTGGTTACAAAACCTGCTTCGTTATTTGTAACTAAATAATTCTTGAATAAGAACTTGGTCAGCCTATGTCGCTTAAGGTAATATAAGGACCTATAAGTAAGTTTTTCTCACAATGATATTAGAGAATAGATTGAGTGTGTTACAATACTATGACATTTCACTTAGTCTTACTTCTTGTATCCATGACAGTTTCAGCTATGTTTATGTCTTATCAGCACCCGTAAAGAACTCTATACCAAGTTGTGGGCATCGTAGACATGTTACCAAACCACTAAGTAGTCACAAGTACCATGGAATATTAGTTGAAATAAAGAATGCATTGGTAAACACAGAATTACTGACAGTCGCGAAAAACAGTAAGCAACTGATAGCCAAGCCATTAATAATATTTTTCTCAGAAGTAAATATACCAAGCAAACAGATTTAGGCTGTATATATAAGAGCACCTAACATTAAGATAAAAAACCATAATAACCAATCGTATAACATGAACTACGCAAGATGTACATGATGACGGAAATAAATAGGCATTTAGCATTGGATTAAAATATAGAATTCACAGTAGTCTATGGCTTGCTTTTACAATTTGTCATCAAAAGGTACCGGCAAAAGACAAGGCGAAATAACTTACCGGCCTGAAGGCCAATTTTGCAGCACTAAGCTTTTTTTTATCAAGAGATGGCGCATATGGTTTCTTAAACCTAGTATTGAGGATATTAATCGTTTGTTCATTTTTTATCTGCTGCATTAATTCTTCTTTAGTTAGATGAGCACCATCAGGGATAAAGTGCACAGCGTTACTGCTAGTTATTTCTCTGCGCGTTGTGATAGACTCTTTTGGGCCCGGTAGAGTATCTTTTTGAGTAGATATACCGGATTCAATGGAAAGCAGATTACTGTTGGAGCAAATAGCTTCCTAAATTAAACGATAAAAGGGATAAGATTTCACCGTATTCTTATTTTGTAACCTAAAAAACCCGGACAATTTTGCAGCCTGTTTCTTTTCAATTTCTTCCATTAATTCAGAAAACGACGCGTTATCTTCTGTGGTATTATTGGCCAAATAAGTGTTGAGGGAAGGTAACTTAGGACCTAAAACAATGACAGCTATTGTAAAACCCGCCTTCAGGATTTCTTGATGGAAGTTCTTCGCCATTATTATGAGATTCAGGTTTAAGATTCTCCCCTTTCATACGAGCAAGATCTGGAAAAAAATCTCTTTGAATGATATCACCAAGATTCTAGAAGAAATCAGTCAACTTTAATTCAAAGCAGAAAAAAAGTTTTAGTTACCTTCATATACTCATCTTCATCGACTACCTTTTCGTGGACAACTCTATTTTGTACTTTGTCGAAGCGGGCAAGAAACCTTGATCCATCTTTGCTATGGAGTATTTTTACAGACGAAGCACTGCCGGGGTCAGAAGTCATCGGATCGTAAAATGTACGATCAAGCCGCTAATTCTTAAAATTTATTTAAACAAACATGATATTACTATTTTTTAAAAATGTATAAGCTTTTTAAATAAATTTACTATACTTTTGTTAGTTTATATAGTTAACTTTATTTTAAATGAAAAATAAAAATAAACATGGATTTTTTGACTAGATATAATCAAATTCAGTATATATGAGCAGTCTCGAAGCCTTACTTATGAACATATTCATAATGCAATAAACTTGTCATTTAGCAGCTTTAGAATATCAAAGACCCATTCCTGCCTCAGACCAGCCTCATTGTCTCCTATTATCTTATATTCGATTAAAAATGCATTTTATAAAAAATTCCGATGACTTTATCATTAAACAGAATAAATTATAGTGTTAGTCTGACCTCAGCTTCTTTATATGATCTGAGAGACCGTAAGACCTTGTGGATCACACCTAGTACTGCGTCTTCTTCCATAATATTAGTGAACTTGGTAAATTCCTCTATATCTTCCTTACGTTACAACCCAGTTGAAAAAACCAGGCCAGACCAACACCATACAGCGACCAAACTAGAAGCCATACTATCTTGCTTTTTACATCTATTAATAAAATATATTTAGTAAAGTGCGTAAAATGTCTTTTCTAGAAGTTGAACATATAATTTATTTTTAACGACTTATTTTATTTCTTCTCCCTAGGGTCAATTATCCTCCTTGCAAGGCATCTTATCTAGTCCAATGCACCTTCTTATTTAACAAGAACTCATTCACTCACTCATTTCATTCACTAAGACTCAAATAGACGATAATTTCCCATTGGATCTA